GATCAGTCTTGTTAAACTTGGATACCGAAGCCATAACTAAAAGTACGGCTCTTTTTTCAGTTAAGACTGTTTCTGGGCCACCTGCCATATCCGAAACTATTGGCTCTTCTTCTTCGTCATCCTCATCTTCACTTTCTTCATCATCGTCTTCATCATCATCCTTATCAACCACTTCAGCATCCTCCCCACCGCCCACTTCACTTGCCTCTAAAGAAAGATTGTCACAATCCGTTTTATCAACTGTTCCCACTGAGGATGTTCTGAACCAGACTGCTAGCGCCCGCAGTTCCCTTTTCGGACAGACCTGGGAGCTATCTGATTGTCTGAAGGGCATACGCCGTAAAATTCTTTTGTTATATATATATATATATTTATTTATTTATTTATTTATTTATTTGTCTATCTATTTAATTGATATTTGTCTGTATTGATATTCCAGACATTTTTGCAAATTAATTGAGGCCGGTTTGAATTTGCTTTCATACAGATTCGAGCAGATTAAATATGGAAGTAGTTTGACCTTGACCATATTGGTAGGAAGACTTAGAGGAACGCACCTAGTTCGGAGTCCATTGCATGCATGATTCTTTCCAGAGTCGGACAGTGGTCGTGGTACATTCCCAAACGTTTCGCCGGCATCTTAGTCGGCATCGTAAGTGAGTCTTGCCATTCTCAGCACCACACTATAGCTCGTCAGAGACAACTGAAGCCGGTCCTTTGATCTATTGTCTGCTAAACAATCGCGGTATCTCTCCTTCCGTCATGGGCTAATCACCAATTACCTAAGCTATGGCTGATACATACCCTTTTTTCTATGCTAGCTGTTTAGAAAGAGTCACTAGCAATTGAAACTATAATAGTGTCAGCATCTATGTTCATATGAATACACAACATATGTTTAGTACTATTTAGTAGTAAAATTACTAATAGGCATAAGATTTCTTGCCACTATAGGTCACATAAGATGATAACGGACAGATGTTAAATATTTTTAAATTTTCAAATATTTCCAAACTCACGTTTCCTTTGAATTTTACTTGCTCCCTCAAAAACTGTTATACACATTTCTTTAAGATCTACTGATACTATTTTACCTTTTCCTGGAAAAATTATGTTCACTATTTCAGCTTCAGCGTCCTAGCATTGTTCTTCCTTTTTATTTGCACTCTAATTCTCGGTTGCACTAGGCTCATATCAATATTTAGACTAACTTTAAACAAGCATCCTGATCTCTTGAACCTTATTTACTAGCCAATAACAGTTCTCAATCAGAAGTCTATCTACTCTATCATCACCCTTATTTATAATAATGATTGGTAAAAAATAATGGCTTAAAGCTAAAATTTCTTTACTGAATATCGTTATCTTTATCTTAAACATCGAAAGATCTTATAATCTCTGTCAATGACTCATTCTAATTTCAGATTTTGTCCATCTTGATATCGGCTAATCATTCCTATTCTGCTGCTTTAGTTTGTTACTATCCCTCAGCCTATCTCTTTTATATCTTTGTATTTTATATTACTACTCGCATTTCTTCCCTCTTACGATTTTCATTAGACTACGCATTTATACTTTGTTTGCCTGCGGAGATATCATAGGTTTGTTTAATTCATCTTTTTTAAGCCTTGTACTATATGCTTGCCTATTTTTCTTTGTCCCTTTAGCCTAATCCTATAAAATTTACTTATATAACCTTGTGTTCAATGACAATTACCATTATTATGTGCATTTATTTTTAGCCGTTTTATTTTTCACACTTAGTGGAAGTTTAATCTTTAATTTTTGAACTCCTTTTTATTTTTTTAAGGCGTGAATTCAGAGAGCGATTCGTCTAGTTCACTTAGTTCTCCTTCCTCCTCAAATACCACTCTTTCTGCTGCAACTGCCTCTACGTCTAACCAATCCTCCTGCAGACCTATCAAAGAGTCTACCATTGAACCAGCTGCTTGTCTAACCTCCAGTACTCTCTCTTCTGTCTCTACTGCCACCACCCACGCAAATGGCTCCACTTGCACTACTACCACGAGTATTAGTAATAACGTCTATAGCTCATCTGCCGAACCCAGCGAATCTTCAAGATTTTCCACACCAGCTTTCGATCGTCCCGCTAGCCCTACTTGCACCACATTCGAATTCAAACGTGGTCTTGCAGCAGTCATCCAAACTGGATGGCCATCACAATCTGGAACTACCACTAGCATCTCCGTCAGCTCTCCTACGCTTGAATCGAGTGCACTTGCCTCTCCCACGCTTGCTTCAGCTTCATGGAAGGGAGAACGATTGGTGGATTCAGATAAAAGGTTGGAGGTGTTAGAGGGGGAGAAACGACAAAAGGTAGCCATGAGAGGGGAGGACTTGGAGAGGGAGAATAGGCTTCCGAGTGGCTGGTCGCAGGGCGAACCTGAGGCGAATAGGATTGCGGGTGTGGAACATCTAGAGTGTGGAAACAAAGACAAACCTGGGTCTATTTTAGTAGAGCTAGAACCCACAGTCTCAAAAAGTGACATTTCAAAGTCCTTGGATATTCCTCCCACTGTAAGTAAGAAAATTCTAGACTGCGTTTTAAAGGAAGTAATTATATTTATCTGGCCTTGCTTTCTAATATATGAGATGCATTCATCCTATTGCTGGTAGTCTCGAAACTCTACTTATAAACGAGAAACCTGCTTACTATTCTTGACTCAAGGCTAGTATTATTTCATTTTATGCTAATATTGCTTTCAGAGATGTGTTAATTGGGATTTTTAAGTTCTTTTTCTGTTATTCTATAGCTAAAAACTTGTATTTCAATAAAATTTGATTCTTTTTTATAGTTCCAACTGTAGGTCCGATTAATTACTTATTAAATTTTTTACTAGATAACAAAAGTCGAATATATTACTGGAAATCAAGTTAGCATGACTCATTCCTCCCCAATTCACTTAATATTCTCGTGATATCCACCTTAAGCTATATCAAATATTTTCTCTATCAATAATCTACTTTGCTTATGAGTTTAGATGCATTTAACCTAGCTGGTCTAGACCCTATCAATATTTCATAGCAACCTCATTTACGCTTTCTTGAAAACCAGGATGACATTTTTAGCTATTTTAGATTTAATTTTCAAAGCATCATCTTAGATTTCCTTCGATTTATTGGTTTATTAAGACTTTTGGGGTTCTTAATTATGTCTATGGCAGACATTCAAGGAATGTACTGCAATCAGCATCATGAAAGGTTATGATGGCGAGTCTTCTTATAATTATTCGAAATTTAATGTGCTGACAAGAGTGGCTGTCATATTTTGTATAAAGAATTTGGCGGGAGTGATTAGTCAAATTTATTTGCGGGTAATCGAATGAAAAATGTCTGGGTTTTAACCTCCTAGTCGACCAAAAAAGTCTTTGGCACATTGTGCTATGACCTCTATTTAACTATTAAAAGCTTTCATCTCATACGTGACAAACATCTTCAGAGCTTGAAGTCCCACCTACTTATAAAATTCTACAAATACTTCGCCTAGAGGCCTCAAATAAGATCGTAAACGTAGATTAGATTGCAATTGTCCATTATTATTGGGGTATTGTTTCGCCAATTTATTTTGTTTATTGTTTCACGTTTAAAATGGCATTATAAACTTCTTTTTCGTATTTGAGTAGTTTTGAGACTACCAGTAAATTAGTAATATGAGATGTATTCACCCTATTTCGTTTAACGTGATGAAGGTCTAGTAGTAGAATTTTCCCACATTGATATGAGTAGAGCTGATGTTTCTGTTGAATTTCACATTGCCTTGCTTTCCTAAAAGTTGTTCTCATCCAGGGTGTACCGAAGTTTCGACCACGTATCGGTCTTATCAACACCCTCCGCGCGAGTCGAACCGTAACAGTGCAGAATGGGAGCTTGACACGTTAACCACTCGACCACATTGCCACGAGTGCC